TTTGTCAATCGGCTTTTCGTGCAGAATTGATGGCAGTCTATGAAGCACTGCGATGGGCATCTCAGAGGTGCCTACGAGTCAGGTTGTGGAGTGACTGTCTGGGGGTGGTTCAAGGGGTTCGAAGACTGCTTTCAGGAGGAGTCGTCAAACCTAACAAAGCGCATTCAGATTTGTGGAGAGCCATTGCCTCAATTTTGCATGAGGGGGTGATTGAGGTGCAGATTATCAAAGTGGTTTCACATTGCAGCATTCGCTCCGCTACCAACTGTGAAGAGGAATGGGCATATTGGCACAACCAACTCACTGATCAGGCCGCTGTTGCGGTGAACACAAGGCGACCAGACGAGTTTTGGGTAGCGTGGGATGCGCTATCGATTGCGCTGACCGAGCGGCGCAAGCTACACATGGCAGTTTTGCAGATGCTACTGAAACAGAGTCGTTTTGCTCACAGGGCCCAGCAGAAAGAAACCAAATCAGTTGTCCCAGTCGCTAGTACGCCTGTCGCTAGTACGCCTGTCGCTAGTACGCCTGTCGCTAGTACGCCTGTGGTAGTTGCACTGCCGACCCCACCGGTGTGGAAAAACCCAGAAAAGATGTGGAAGCGCTATGGGCGCGTCAATGTGGATGCCATTCATGCGTGGTGGTCTGAATGTGGTACAGCTGCATTTGCTGGCACTGAGGCAATCAAACTGGTATCTGGTTTGCAGTTGTTTTTGGATTTCACATGGAGCACGGGCCACGAGGGGCCATTTGTACACCGCAAAAAGTGGTATGCCCAAAAACATGAGATTCCCAAAGCGTGTGTGACCAATTATGGTGAAAGGGTTCGCGTTTTTCTTTCCATTTGGGGGACTTATTTGAAGAATCATGGGTTGAAAGTTCCGAATAAGGTTGCTCGGCCTTGTGGGGATTCTATTGCGAAGTTTGTGGTTTGTTATTATTTGCGTTGGCCTAGTTCCAAAGTTGCTATGGTTGATTCTCATGTTTTTGGATCAATGGGGCGCCAGCTGGCATCTCATAGAGATTTTGGCGCGGTTTCACCTTGTCGGCAATGACCCGCAGTGTTCGCAGCTCGGATGGGTGCGGAGGCCGCTCGCTGCCTCCGTGCCTTCTCATAAACCGCAATAAACCGTAATATTTTTCAAGATGGTTAAAACCACCAACCAGTTTTTGATAGGTGCCATTAAAACTACTGGTTGGTGCTTTGGAACATTTTTTATTTGTCCATATATTGGGAATAATCCTTCCCATTGATTAATACTTTTCAAGATGGTTAAAACCACCAACCAGTTTTTGATAGGTGCCATTAAAACTACTGGTTGGTGCTTTGGATCATTTTTTATTTGTCCATACATTGGGAATAATCCTTCCCATTGATTATATAATATTTTTCAAGATGGTTAAAACCACCAACCAGTTTTTGATAGGTGCCATTAAAACTACTGGTTTGTGCTTTGGAACATTTTTTATTTGTCCATATATTGGGAATAATCCTTCCCATTGATTAATATGGTTCAAGATGGTTAAAACCACCAACCAGTTTTTGATAGGTGCCATTAAAATTACTGGTTGGTGCTTTGGATCATTTTTTATTTTTCCATATATTGGCGGTCATCCTTCCCATTGATTGATATTCTTCAAGATGGTTATAACCACCAACCATATTATTCAACCCCCCTGGACTATTTTGGATGGTTTACTCCCCGACCCACGTTTGTATCGCCAGGCTGGCATCCCTTGAACGAGTGGTACACCTTGAAGTCCTTGGGTTCACGACAGGTGACCTGACGGCGTCAACGGTGGATAGCAGGGAAGCGTTTTTAGGGACAAGAAATAGCGAAGTTGTAGAAGCAAGGATTTGTTACCCTCTGGTCATTTAACATAGCTATGGAAAATGGCCATTTATAGTGATTTACCCATTGAAAATTGTGATTTTCCATCGTTATGTTAGTTCTGTTTGTTTCCAAGAGGGTAATTCAGAAAAAGAGTAATTCAGCAAAAGGGTGTCTGGTTGGTGGTTTGGAACATGAATTTTATTTTCCATAATATATGGGAATAATCCCAACTGACTATTTTTCAGAGGGGTTGAAACCACCAACCAGGCAAAAGAGTGTGTTTAACTGTTTTGTGTGGCTTTGCCTGTTGAGTGATGATTTTTCTACTTGCGGAAAAGACCCACAACAGTGGTAATTACTCCTGTAAGAAGTTTGGGAAGGGGCTCAATGGGGAGGTTTGGAATGGAAAGTCACCCATGTTCAGTCAATCAGATTGATATTTGGGCCATTTGGGTCATCATTGTTACCCTTCCTCGGCGAAGATTGGGTCACTGTTGGCTTCATACGCAAAGTCTATGTGGAAGTTTGGGAGAGATGCAACGGTATTTGACGTTCAGGGAAGAGGCAGTAAGAACAATCCCTCGGGTACCAGCCATCCACAAATTGCCCAACGTGCAACGGGTCCATGTGTTCGTTTAGATTTCACTCCCTTGGTTTTCAGTCGCGAAATTCCCCTTTAGTTCCCCTGAGGGTTCTCTGAAGGTGAATTCTAGAAAATTTGTGATGTCTACTGAGCCAGTCTATTTGTTGCTGTAAAAACTCCCATTTTTTTGTTGCTTTCAGTCGATGTTTTCGGAAACAAACGGCACGGAACTCGCAGGTGGAAATTTCCACGAACTCGCTGGAACCCTGTGACTTGGGTTGGACGTTGGATGATGCGAAAAAATGGACGACAAGTCCCTTATTAAATGGCGAAAAACCATGGAGTTTTTTGTGAATCATTGAATCATAGTCTAAAAAATAGTGCTCTGCTTAAGGAATTGGTCGAACTTCAGAGTTTATCTGATTTTGGGGGGCTTTTTTGTTTGGAAATCTATTCGGATCACAACTGATTTTATGTAAAGTGATATTCAACTGGTTGTTGGTTTCAAACATGGCTTTTATTGTCCATTTCATATGGGTTGTCATCCTTCCCATTGACGAACTCATCTTTTTCAAGATGGGCACATTGCACCACCAAGCAGTCAACATTAGAACAAAACCATCCCCCTGTACGGGATATCCAATGACCAGTTGGGCACTGCTGGCACTGGGTCACTGATGTCACTGATGTTCATTCGTCGATGAGATGATCCCGAGCCAATTTTTGTGCGACTGGGAAAAGTCATGAAAAGTCGATGGCCCAACTGGTTTGGCATGTTAATGGATCAATATACCTAACAGATTTAATATATACCGAGCCAAGAACGATGTTCGCTGCATGGAAATCTGCACTGTGTATCTCGGATGGCACCCGGACCCCTTCAGATCATGCCGGGCAGGCTACAAGATCATGGGCTGAGCACCCGCAGGGCGATGGGATGCGATGGGTACAAAATGGGCAGCGGACATGGGAGGAACTCTGGTGCTGGTGAAGTCTTTAACTTTGACGGCTAGGGATATTTTAAGTGATGGTTTGGTGGGTGATAAAGCATGATAAAGCATGATAAAGCATGATAAAGCAGTGAAATTGGGAAAGCACAAAAGCTGAGTGATTGACTGATTGAGGCTGTGGATGAGGGCAGATGTCCAATTGAAGGACACAGTTTGGGATGCCACAGAGTCTCTAGAGATCTAGAGTTCACGAAAAAAAGCAAAGGGATGCAATGTACCATGCAATGTACTGTTAAATGATGTTAAATGTCAAGTGGAAAAGTGGAAGTCAATGACTTTTTTGGTGATGTCAGTGATGTCTTTTTTTTTAGACATGTCGGGGATGTTGGGATGATCCAAGGCAACCCGCTTGGCCTCAAGAGGTCGGAGACTATGGACACTGGGACGCTGCAGGCAATTCATATGTAATATATATATATGATATATTATGATATTTTATGATATATTATGATATATTATGATATATTTATGATATATTTATGATATATTATGATATATTATGATATATTTATGGTTTATTATGATATATTATGATATATTATGATATATTTATGATATATTTATGATATATTATGATATATTTATGATATATTATGATATATTATGATATATTTATGATATATTATGATATATTATGATATATTATGAGATATATTACTTAATCATTATGACTCTATTACTTATTCTTATTCTCTATTCTTCCTATTCTTCTTATATCTTATTATCAGTCTTCTATATATTTATTATATACATTCTTCTCTCTTCTTCCTATCTTTTTTTATATCTTCTTCATATCTTCTTCCTCTATTATTCCTATCTTCGTCTCTCTTTTCCCTTCTCTCTTATTTACTCTATTCTTACTCTCTTCTTCTTCTTTCGTTCTCTGCTTCTTCTTCTTCTTACTCTTTCTTTTCTCTCTTTTTTCTTCTCTTCTTCTCTTTCACTTATCTCTTCTTCTCTCTTTCTTCTCCTCATTCTTCTCGCTCTTTGTCTTCCTCTCTTCTTCCCTCTTCCTTCTCTCCTATCTTCTCTCTTTCCTCCATCTCGTTCTTCTCTCTTCTTCCTCTCTTCTTCTCTCTTTCTTTCTCATCTTTCTTCTCTCTTCTTCTCTCTTTCTTCTCCTCTTATCTCTCTTCTTTTTTCCCCCTGTCTTGTTCCTTCTCTCTTCTTCTCTCTTCATTCTCTCTCTCTCTCCTATTTCTTCTCTCTTCTTCCCTCTCTCCCCCTCCCCTCTCTCATGTTATATCCATGTCATATAGCCCCCAGTTGTTTGTTTTTTATGTTGTTTGAAATGTGCTGTAGTTCACCCTGGTTCCATGTGAGTCTGTTTGAAATGTGTGGTATACCGTATACCGTCTACCCCAACTTAACTGATTTATCAATCTTTATCATCCGTTTCTTATAAAATATCAAACAAAAATATAAAGTGGCTGAATGTTTATCATCATGTTCCGTGTTCCATCATGTTCCCAAAAAATGATTATAAGATGGTTATGGTTGATCCCCCATTTTATTTTTTCATTTTCAAGGATCAAGCATTTGAAAATGGGGCATTTGATGACTGCGAAGGTGCCTCCCACTGGGAGCTACTACGTGAATAGCGCAATGGCGGACGTGTGGACCCTGCCCACGCCACTGGGTGAGGATTTGGATTTGTTCGAAGAAGTTTGTGTTCACCTTGCTGGCGCCAAAAGGACAATGGAACGGTAATGAATCCCACTAAAATAGTGATTTTTATGAGTTTTCAGTACCACTAAAATAGTGATTCACAGTAATGTCCTATACTAAAAAGTACTAGAATAGATGAACATAATCATAAATGACTCTTCTATTTCTTTGGTGGTTTACTGCAACTTCCACCTATGAATCTTGCATAACCTTGCAAAATCCTATGTCGAGGTTTGTTGATAGATAAAAAGTGATGAATTCCTCCAAAGGGCGATGCGTTTCTGGAGAATGTAAGAAGCCATGCAGGACAAGATGATGTCATCGAGGAATAGCCTTGCTTCCATTCTGGAACCCCCCAAAAAATGGATGGTGGGATAGGTCCTAAATATATATATATATATATGTTTTTTTCGCCATCTAAAGGGCCCAATGATCCAATGGTAGTCCGAAAAATGTAACAACCAAACCGGTCCATCTATTTCTATTCCAAGACATCATTGGCTCGACCACCCTAGAGAAAATCAAAGGGCCTCAGCAAAGCCAACTGGGAAGTTTCATCAACCAGACTTGCGGATTAATGGATATATCATTGTATGTAATTTTTGGGAGTCAACCACTTTTTTTGGTTGGTTCATTGTATTTGGGAACTCCTAAAAGGTGATGTAGATACACATGAGAGGAACTCTGGCACTGTTTCGGTCTGTGGCTTAAGTGCTTTGAAGTGCTTCCCTCTTCCAGGGATTCCATGTCTAGAATGATTGCCCCAAGAGTGATTTTGGGATGGATTGAAGTTTGAAAACACCAAGCAGTTTTTAGGGCGCAGGATGGGGAAGCCAGCTGCAATACTGATCCACAGATCTGGAACCCATGGACCCCTCAGAAATGCTGGAAAAATCACTTTCCAACCGAAAACAGTACCCGCTGGTTATGACTAACATAGCCATGGAAAATGGGCCATAGAAATAGATGGTTTACCTATTAAAAATGGTGGATCTTTCCATGGCAAACTGTTAGTCATAACCAGATGGTAATTCTTCAAGTTCAGGAGTTCTATAGGAATGTTCAATAGGAACACATCAAAAAAAACATTTTTTTCAAATTCAAGATGATTTATTCTATAGGAATACCCAAAAAAATCAAATGTCAGACCGAAAAACCCAGGAGTATGGTACAAAAGATTCCGTTGGACACCAGCATTTCTGGTACCGCTCCACCGCTGTGGGTTCGTTCCGAAGGGACACCGGCTGGGTGGGTTATGGTGGGTTGGGGATGGCTGGGAACTGCTGGGAAACCATGGAAAAAGCCCAAAGTCATGGAATCATTGGGTTGAGAAACCATGATATTTCGTTGGGAAAACTCTGGGAAAGCCCTTAAAAATGTTGGAAAATCATGGTTGAGAAAGCAAGACTGGTTTAATTCATAAAACTATTTGAAATAGTTCGAAATGCCACATGGATGGCTCAACCCCTGTCTCTTGGTCCCATCTCCCCTCACCAGGAGCCTGTTTACAACCAACAAATATGGCCTGGGCAATGGTATGGGTGACATGCGCATTCGCTTCAAGGGCAACAACTGGAACAACGTGTCGCTTGGCAAAGTCGTTCAGATTGGCTCAGATCATATCCAGCATGGCAGGATATGATCTGGGCCAATAAAAAAGTGCCACGTGACCTCACTGGAATCACGGTCAATAAGAGGAATCATCTGAAATATTACAACTTGCCCAGATATTATGCGTAAGTTTTCCTGGGTGGTGGAATCATGTGGAATCCAACAAAACAAGTAGTGGTTTCCAACAAACAAGCATTCTTCCTTCTTTGTTGCTGGAAAGGAGACCGCTTTGACATGCTATTGTTATATTTCTATATTATATTTCTCATATCCAGGTTTGTTCTTTCAGTTCAGTCTTGATTATAAAAACGTCTTGCTGGCTGATAGCCCTGTTCTTGCAGCGATATTTTACTTGTAGAGTCTCCGGGGTAGTGCACCATTTTGAAGAATCATGAAGAATCCCTTGCCCATACTCCAGTATAAGATAGCCCCTCAAGAAGGGACCCGAGAGTGAGGATAGATTTTCGTTCATATTTCATATTGAAGCATCCAGTTTCTGCTAATACGTCTTGGCTGTCCATTGGAACCAGCCCAGGGCTCTGTCAGTGCTGGGGAAGAACGTGATGGGTACTATCCAGGACACGTTTCGGGCTTGGCCTGGCTTGGCCTTGCTGCACCGAGCTGGGATACCTGCGGGGAATTAAAAAAAAAAACGAGTCCAACCGGGATAAATTAGAACCCTACTCGCATCTGCTCGATGTGATTATGAAACTATGACCATCTACAATGTGGGTGGGCCCCAGTGGGGCCCCCCAGTTGTAAGTTGGTTTATAAACCCCATTAACTATAGTTATAGGTTATAAGTACCATAAACCATAGTTATTGGAGTTATAAACCAACTTAGCTATCTTGGGGGCCCCACATTGTATGACCCATATGTTTTCCCATTTATTCAAAGTTTGGTGACTTACTGGCTGTGATTATGATCCGTTTCTCCCGCGGCTGCTAGTTCCAGTATGAATGAGCCATGCGCTAGGACAAAACAGCATTTTAGACATGTGTTGGGAATATTTAGATTGACACGCTCAAAAACGTTGTTTGGGGTCGGTATATTCCTATTTATTGTTGATTACTACCATGATCTATGATCATGTTCGCAGGTTTTCATTCCCATAAGTTCCATAAGTTGTTGTTGTCATTCCTCGCCGCTATTTCTTTGACAAAAAGATATTCGTAGCATCGAGAGGCCAAGTCTCATTTTTTAGCACTACCCGGATGTTATTGCTTCATTTACTTCATTTGTTATTTCTCTTGGATATTCCAATGACCTCCAAAGATTCTGCTCCTGTTTGATATATAGATTGCTATTTGCAAGCCGTGGATCTTCTGTGTTTGATCCCCTCTTGGGTCTCAAAATTCATCGGATTGTCATCAATCTCCGTGTTCGTGTCATCAATCGACGTTTGGGGTAGGTCCGTAGGTCAAATAATCACGAGATATGCCTGGGATGCCGGGGTGGATCCCGCACCCAGGACTGGGTTGCACCAGATGATTGGCTCTGCTCCGGATATACTTTGAAGGATTTGAGGAGCGCCCGCTGCGACGGAGCGAGACGCGATGCTTCAGAAATGGGGAGAAATACAGAGATGGAAAGGAATTTCCACTTGAAACCATGGCTGTTTCTTCCATTTAGTACATGAAAACATCGGCCTGAGCTCCCATTCTTTACTTTCAGAGAAAAGTAAGAGTCCCTTGATCTAGGTGGAGTGCCGCATGCCAGGATGGGAACTATGGAGATTTCCAAGATGTGGGAGATGCAAAGGGTGCCCCGCCGGGCAATTGAGCTCTGGATCAGGTTGAGTATCTTGAAGCAGTCGTTTACATGAGTGGCACATGTCACTGCTAGTTTCATGTTTGACCGTGGGTTATTTCTGTTTGCAACACGCATCACAGATATTGTTGATGGATTGTTGTTGGGGATTCTTCCTTCTTTTGATGCTTTGTTGATGGTTGCTGCGAAGAGCGCGGACTTTGATCAGGGTCTAAGCCCCTGTCTTGAAAGCTGAAGGGAGTTAGCACCTATATACATAATATATATATACACAGTTTTAGCATAACTGCAGCCACAATGTCTTACACTTCCATAACGGAGTTGGGATACTTCGAAAATATGGGTTTGACCCAAAGCGGAAGAGAGGACATTTGCAACAGCCCTGCCATGTCCTGCGTTGCATATTTGTGGAGACAACTCAACCACGAAACACAATTGCTGATCAAACACCATGTTTTCTTTCCATAGAATACTATGAGCTAAGAGCACTCATGGATACTCGTGGAATATATGTATGTCAACATCCGAATTCACCCAATACAGAAACTTTCGAGGTTTCAAGCGTTCCGATTCGGTTTAGGGTTGGCAAATGATGCACCAACAGACACTGCCGCTGTCTGCTCACCTTCTAAAGGGTCAACCGTAGATACTTGCAATTATTTGTACATACGATTTTGTACGCGTCATTATGTGTGTCTTGTATTGTTTTGTCCTTAAATATGTTGATGTTGTTTTGTATGCACATGTATTTTGAATTAGAATATATTATAACGATCTATTTTTCAAAATATTTACATATAATCTTACAATTATTTACATGTAAATCATGTATACATCATTTACTTAATATGCATTGCTGTATATGATCCCATGACCCAGGCTGAGTCCAGCGGCATGTCCGGACGCCTGGGGTCCGGTCCTTTTAGGTCCTCAAGGGACCTGTGCTGAGTAAGCGCTTCAAATGGAAACTTCACATGACTCAACTCTGGAATCCAGGTTTTCACTGGATCTCTATATAAATGGGATTTTACATGATAAATACCAGGAAAAGACGCCACTCAAAAATGAAATTTTTGACCCGTAGAAATGGAATAATTAATCAAGAGCCATTCAGTCTGTTGCCAGCCAATTGATGGCGATTTGACCACGAACAAATAGTAGCCTTAGTTGGTAAGTGGGTAATAGCATGTAATTAATAGCCATATTACAACCCTATTGTATGTGCGATATATCCCAGTTAGGGGGTATGAACCGCAACTTGTAACTCGTTCTGTCCTGTATCTATAAGGGTGGTAAAGGGATGAAGTGGTAATATGTCATCGAAGAATATGATATTCGGATAGTTATGTTGATTACATTGCAATTGTCTCAAAGCGGTTGAGAACCCATTAAATTTTCAACGGATCAATTTTTGCTGCAGGGAACCATGATTTTTACCTTCCAATGTAGGATGTTCATGGTAAACATTTGCCATTGGATTGCCTCATGGGTATGTTACATTGAAGAAACAGGAAAGTCACAGTTTGGTTTTTAGAGTGTTCGCCAGCCGGTTTTGATGGTGCCTACGTCAACTCAAACCCACATTTTCCGGACAAAAATGCCTTTCTAGTGCCACATCCTCAACATCACTGGGTGGCCTGTAAAAGATGTAAAGGCGTCACGTTGCCCCATTGGGACATGCGTTGTTTGGCTGCCCTGTAACTTTCTGTGACTGGGCGAATCCTAGCAAAACTGATAGGTATCCTCTTAGGTTCCAAAAAATATCGTGATTGATCATCACAGATACCCAGAATTCCAAAGTCATGCGAATCCCGATGTCTATTGATGTGGGTATGGGTCACATTTTTAGTGGGTTATTCACATCCATAAATCCCAGCTATTTTGGGGTGAACAAAAGGTACCAAGGTTTTGACCCATCCCCATGTCTATTGTATACAGTCCTGGCGGTCCCAGGACTTGGGCGTTGAGGCTGCTTGGTGATGGAAAGCTTCGATATGGACATATATGGACTATTGATTTTGTTGCTTCCCCAATTGGTTCCCCAATTGGTTCCCCAATTTGAACCATTGGAACATTGATTTGGTTGGTTCCATTTGGTTCCCCAATTTTTGAGTCTTTGAATGTGATTGAATCAGTGTTGTTGCTCATGTCTGTGTCTACATTGTCTACATGCAACGCAGTGGTGATCCAGATATATTGAATGTAGCTAAGAATCCTGATTGAATCAAGGGCATGGTGTCTCTCTCCCATCTGCAAGTAGTTGGAAAGTGGGAAAAGTGTGGAAAAATGCAATTTCAGAGGATTTCGTCATGACGGTGCATTTAGTTTCACATGTTTTTTGTTTCCTTTCCAGAACGGTTTGAAGCAAAGGCAGACATCGCCAGCCATATGTCACCAGCGCTCAGAAGTGTTGTATATGTTCTATGCATCAGGGTGGCCATCAGCTGTTGAAGCAAAGGCAGCCTGGTACCATGATTCCAGAAAGCTAGAGCAGCTAGAGTAAACCTGAATCTCAATGGGAATTCCAGGATCCTAAAATGAAGGTACGTTAGTACCATATATATACGTATGTATATATATATATATGTAAGACCATATTTTAGGGGGATATCCCCTTACATAGGCCTAAAAAATAGGCCAAAAATAGATGGTTGATGATCCTTGGCTGAAGCATTACAGGAATTGGATGGACTTGGTCAGCTGGAAATTCGCCGATGTCTACATAAGGATGTGCGATGTGCAGTCCATATTTGGTCAACAACCGTGGTTATAACATATTAAACCCTCTGGTAAATTAACATAGACCCTGCGAATCGCCAATTTTTGATGGAAACTAATCTTCCAAGCCCTATCTGCCAGGGTCTATGTGAATTTACTGGAGGGTAACTCTAAATCAGATAAATTTGAGTTACATTGGTCAGTGTAATTAATCGTCTACGATTCTTGGGATGCACGTAAAAGAAAACCCCAAATTCTTGGGCATTCCCTGTCCATGGCCAAAGGCCTAATTCCTTGGATGCGGTGTTCTCCCATTGATTAGTGGGCTTGTTTGAACATCGATGACAGATGATTACAGTACCCCTTTTGGTCCAATCAATCCCATGGTAGATAATCATTTTGTCATGAAACACTTGCTATAAATTGAGCTATCCACCCAAACAAGTTGGTCACCATTTTTGGGATAAAACCATATCTATTGTTCATCAGATATCTACCTACTACTTGATGATCAAATCCCTCAAGTTCGGATAAATCCAGATCATTTGCAGCTTCCAAGTTTGGGCTGATCGTCATGTTCTCATCATTTCCTCATCATGTTCTCATCATTTCCTCATGATTTTTACCATGAATTTCAATTTTACCCTGATATTTACCATGTTTTCCCACCCCAGACCCGCGGAATCAGACGGACCCTGAGGTTCGTGGGCTTCGCCTTAGCATGGATCGCCTTCTGCTTGTTGGCCGGACCTCTGGAGGTGGGAACGCGGAGATTTTCTGGGTGAAATATGGGGAAATCATAGGGGAATACGGGAATCATCCGGAAATCATATGAAAATCATATGGAAATAGTATGAAGATGTCTGAAATTATGAAGTAATAGGGAGAACATAGGGAAATAAGAGTGGAATTATGGGGAAAGAATAAGGAAAAATAGGGACAAAATGCGAAGCCCAATTCAATTACGACCAGTCACCACCATGAACATCATTGAACATCCATGAAGCCTTACGGATCTTCTGAAAATCGGTATAGAAGCGGTGATCAAATTCCTGGATCATGTCATCCTATGGGAGTCTGGGAAACAGGATCTTCTTAGGCCATGGTTCTTATGTGTTTTTTTTTTGTTTCTTTGTTCAGACCTCACTGAATGTCTGGTTGGTGCTTTGGAACATGTTGAATATTTTCCATTTCATATGGGGTAATCCTTTCCATTGACGAACTCATATTTTTCAAGATGGTTATTGCACCACCAACCAGATGTATTTTGTGTGTCTCTATCGTTTGAAGACTATGAAACCTACCAATTTAGTGCCACACGGTTCCGTTCCATCCCCAAGGTACATGTCGCCATGGCCATGTTTCCTATCTCACCTCTTGTTGCAAAGGGGTGAAACGATAGAGAAAAAAAATAGGGAACCAAATGGGGAAGAAAAACATGCAAAAGAATGGGAGCTTAGAGTGTGAAGAAGATAGAAAGAACACTAGGGAAGAAACAAGGGGGAAAACTAGGGAATAAACATATGTAGAGAATAACAATACGATACAATACGGAGAAAAAATTGGGAATGGTCATATTTGGAAGAACCATATTGAAGAAAATATGGCGAAAATAGGGAAACAAATAAGGATGACATGTTCGAAAATATGAAAGAACAAAAATTGGAGGTAATTGGAGATCGATACGGAAAACAATCCGCAAGAAAATCAGGAAAGCATAGGTAGGAAATGTAGGAAAGCAAATAAGGAGTGCATGCAGGAAGACTAGGCATTCGGATCAGCATGATATGCAAAACATCAAAACATCACTACTTTTCTCTGCAGATTGACTCATTGACCCATTCAATTAGCCAACGATGTATCCTGCAGACCTAGGTGGCAACAGACTGCATCCCCTGCATCGGCCCCATGTTGTGCAACGCCGTCAGTGCCATCGCATGCTGTGTAGCTCGGTGGGCCGGTCGCCATCCCGTCATCGTCATCCCATCGGATTTCTGTCTTTTTTCGGCCAGGAATCTGGAACTCTAGTTAGTTTCCAGGCTGCTATATCCATTTTAAGACATGTTAAAAGTGAAAGAAACCAGTTTTTTTGGGTTTTAACATGGTTCAAATATAGACTACTGGTTGGTGGTTTGGAACATTTTTCATTTTCCATAATATATGGGATGTCATCCTTCCCGTTGACTTTCATATTTTTTAAGATGATTAAGACCACCAACCAGATGTAAGATCAGCCATTGTCTGCAGCTTGTGAGATTCCTCGCTGACAACCGAGGTCTCCTGCCTTCCGGCGATAGCTTGCACCATGGGCGTGGTGGGCGTGGTGTGGATTGTGATGCGGCCGATGGTTGGTATCCCGTTGATCATCATTTTCGTTGCTTGGACCGCACCCAACAATGGAGAATAATTATGTGGCTCTCATGAATTTCTCAGGTTTCTATCCTTAGTCTAGAATAGCTGCAGAATTGTTTGTACTAATTAGAACTATATGAGACTATATGCATAGTACTGACAATCATTTGCATGATTTGTAGCTTAAGATAATCAATTATTCTGGTTTCAGTAATCCATATTCTTAATGGTGAGTGTTCACATAAATTGATGGATAAACCATTATAAGCCCATGTGGCTTTTGAAACGGGGTTGGATTTACCATCAGTTACCAACCATTTTATGGTGCTAGTTCATGGTGTTTTTTTTGTGGATATTCTGGAGATATTTCATCAACAAATCCCATGGAAATCATGACGCGGGTTACGTACGGATGTTCACCGTCGAGACGTATATCAATTGATACTGTCTATTTCATTGGATTCGATCCCCGGAAAGCAGCCATTGTTGTCCTATGAAATTTACCCTCTGGTAAACTAAGATAGCTATGGAAAATCACCATGTTTAATGGATTAATGGGAAAATCAACTATAAATGGCCATGTTCAATAGCTATCTTAAATTACCAGAGGGTATCTACATTTCTGGTGTTGTTGTTTCATATTATTTGTTCGTTTTTGCGAGGGTATCTTCTCCCTAAACGAGACGAGGGTAGTGGATTGTCTTTGGCCAATTGTCGGGGCGCAAGGATCCAAAAAGTTGTGACCACCCTTCAGATGTCTTGGGGAGACTTGCGGTATATAACTGAGGATATGATCTCTGGCAATTGGGTGCTGTTCTAAAAACCAAGGATGGTTATACGGTTATACAGTTATACAGTTATAATACAGTTATACAAGTCAAATTCATTGCTGGTGATGTTTAAGCTGACGGAATTTTTACCGTCCAGCAAAACGCATAGATTTTGATGGGGTGGGGTGGGGTGGGGTGGGATGTTAACGTTCATTTGCACTTCCACACATACGTGATGCTACGCCACTGCTTGTTCTTCTGCAACTTCCACACAGACGTGATGCTACGCCACTGCTTGTTCTTCTGCAACTTCCACACATACGTGATGCTACGCCACTGCCCGTTCTTCTGCAACTTCCACACAGACGTGATGCTACGCCACTGCCTGTTCTTCTGCAACTTCCACACATATGTGATGCTACGTTGGGGTGGGGTGGGGTGGGGTGGGATGTTAACGTTCATTGGCACTTCCACAAGTACGTGATGCTACGCCACTGCCCGTTCTTCTGCAACTTCCACACAGACGTGATGCTACGCCACTGCCTGTTCTTCTGCAACTTCCACACATACGTGATGCTACGTTGGGGTGGGGTGGGGTGAGGTGGGGTGGGATGTTAACGTTCATTGGCACTTCCACAAGTACGTGATGCTACGCCTCTGCCCGTTCTTCTGCAACTTCCACACAGACGTGATGCTACGCCACTGCTTGTTCTTCTGCAACTTCCAAACAGACGTGATGCTACGCCACTGCTTGTTCTTCTGCAACTTCCACACATACGGCGTACATCAAGCAACTGTCTTGATTCGACTTCGGGCCTCTTGAAGAAAAAACGCTGAGAGGCTTGTCGATGGAAAAGTTAAACCCTCAAGTTCGGAGACCCCTTTTTTTGCATCAAAATTGACGTTTCGCTATGGCGAAACCATGAATTTGTGCTAATTATGCGGACGGTAAAAATTCCGCCGGGATGTTTAAGACGCTTCTGCCAGCTTACGCAAGATCCGTAAATGTGGGCCCGCCGTCGCCAAATTGGGGCCCGCCCCACCCCCCGTGATTTGTTTCGACGAATGGTCCATCGGTTCATCCTGGCGCCACTCTGAAATGCTTTGAGGATTTATTGATATTCATCCTCCAAATATAAATGATAGTTTAATGTATTCTATATAGGTATGTAATATGATGTTTTGATTATGTGATATGTGCATATATATATATATACAAAATACAGGCTTTGACTCATTCCCATTTTTCTCCCCCCTGGTTACATCCAAAAGCTCAGTTGCTTGTCATGATTGGCATGATCGTTTGGAAGTGCTGCTTCACGTCGGGACACCCAGCTCGGGACCTTCCGGGTTTCCTGTAGCGAAATGGGATGATCCTGCAGCTGAGGCGACCCGACCCATGGCGACCCACAACAGGATCACTAGGTTCGATTGAAAATATGGTGATCCCAAACTTGATCATTGATTCAGCATGTTTCCTGTGTTGAAAGAACCATGTTGTGAAAAAGACCATGTTTTTTTTGGAGGAAGCCGTCCAACACCTTCCAGCATGGCAACTTCAACCAAGTTCAGACTACTGGGCATTGCAGTGCTAAATTCCAGTATCACCGTGTACTGTGCCACCTACTAGTACTTGATACGAAGCAATATCAACCATTCTCAACAAACATGGGAACCACTATAAACGTGTAAACTTCAAGCAATCTCAACGCAGGAAGAAGAGCAAGAAGGTCTACGATTCGGAAGGCCTGACGTGTGTTTCATCTCCAGGGATAGAAATCGACCAGGTCGATATGGCAACGAAGATCTTGACGAAGATCTATTGGGTCAAGCCTATTAATTAACACCCAAATGTGACCATAGAAATGCAGAAGGTCTGATATTCTAACCATGTAATCATGGGGGGTAAGACCTGGTGAGTCGATCACCTAGAAGTCCTATAGATGTCGCACTACTTCCAAGCGTAGCAGCGTAGCAAACTAAATGATTCCACTTCTGACGCAATTGGCTTCTCAAGCTTTACAGATAGAAAAATCAAGAAATTGTAGATTATGCTTCATTGTGCTAGATTATATTTTTACGATTCATTTTGTACACATGCAAGTGTTGCCATTGGGCTTGGGATAGCAGTGGTCCGACCCTCCAGCGATACCCTTGGTGGACTTCAGATGACGCGGAGGAGTTTCCTCCATGGGTTTCCTCCTAAAATCAGGGGTTGGTAACGGGTACCTTGTTGGCGATTTTGAACATCACCTTCAAGTATTCCGTAAGGATCCATGTATGGAATATTTACCTACATTGGGATATTTTTAATTACTTTAGGGGTCAATGTACAGTAGGTAAATATTCCATACATGGATCCTCTGGGATTTGATTCAGATTATATCCGCAATAGTTGGGTGATGTTTAATTGGGACATTTACCAACACCTGAAAATGGGAGCGATGAATTTTGGTGGAAGGCTTTCTTAAGGGCGCCTCCCATGCAAGATTCCAATAGATAGATCTTTATTATATTAAAGATGCTTGGATCTTTGCAAGTAAGTACTTCACTCATTTTTTTGCATCAAGATGGTCCCATTTTTCCGGAATGTTCACCGGTTTGTCGGAAGATTGGGCACCCATTATGTTGAGAACAGATAAAACAAAAAAACATGATTCAATGGCCATTCCTATCCCCTAGATCCGAGGATTCACCCCCTGCTCATAGCCATGGATTGTATACCCATATTGTGGGATGGTTATATTACCATTTGCATTTCATTATCCCAATCAAATAATTCCTATGATATTCATTGCGAGGAGTAATGTTGATGTTTAAATCCTACTATTCATGATTATCGGGATTATTTGATCATGACTCAGTTGATGAATCCTAATGAAAGATCCTATATGATAGTCCTATGAATTCCTTATATGAGAATCACCATGAATCTGGGTAAGTTATAACGACACTCACTGGAATCATGGTTGGGATTCGGGGAATCCTCATGAATCATCCCCAGTCATAGCCCAACATGTCAGGTTGAAATATTACCATCTGGTTATGACTAATATAGCCATGGTATAGATGGCCCATAGAAATCGATGGTTTACCGTTTAACGTTCTTCAAAATGGTGGATCTTTAAGTCTTTCCATGGCAAACTGTTAGTCACAACCAGATGGTAATATTGTTAGTTATTTATCCCATGGCCCAAATAATATTTTTCCCCAATAGCGTAAGCTAATGGGGTCTTCAGCCCAGAATAGCTCCGGTGTGCACTGGTGCAGGCGCCGGGTCAGGTTTAACGAGGTTCCGGAGAAGATTCCAAAGGTTCCGGAGAAGGTGTGGGAGGCTTCGGTGCAGAGCCAGGTCAGGTTCAAGGGTTCCGGAGAAGGTTCCCGAGAAGGTGTGGAAGGCTTGCATGGGTGCAGCGCCCCCTTAGGTTCAACAGGGGTCCGGACAGGGTTCTGGAGAAGGTTTCGGAGAAGGTTCCAGGAGGCTTTGGTGCAGAGCCAGGTCAGGTTCAACAGGGTTCCGGAGAAGGTTCCGGAGAAGGTGTGGGAGGCTTGGGTTTGGTGCAAAGCCAAGTCAGGTTCAACAGGGTTCCGGTGAATGTTCTGGAGAAGGTTGCGGAGAAGGTTGTGGGAGGCTTCGGTGTAGAGCCAGGTGAGGTTCAACAGAGTTCCGGAGAAGGTTCTGGAGAAGGTGTGGGAGGCTGTGGTGCAAAGCCAAGTCAGGTTCAACAGGGTTCGGGAGAACGTTCTGGAGAAGGTTCCGGAGAATGTGCGGGAGGCTTTGGTGCAGAGCCCGGTCAGGTTCAACGGAGAAGGTGGGTGCAAAGCTAATTGAGGTTCAACAGGGTTCTGGAGAAGGTTCCAGAGAAGGTGTGGGAAGCTTTGGTGCAGAGCCGGGTCAGGTTCCACAGGGTTCCGGAGAAGGTTCCAGAGCAGGTCTGGGAGGCTTTGGTGCAACGCCACGTCAGGTTCAACAGGGTTCCGAAAAAGGTTCCGGAGAAGGTGTGGGAGGCTTTGGTGCAGAGCCAGGTTAGGTTCAGGGGGGGTCTGGAGAAGGTTCCGGAGAAGGTTCTCCGGGAGGCTTTGCAGAGCCAGGTCAGGTTCAACAGGGTTCCGGAGAAGGTTCCGGAGAAGGTTCCGGAGAAGGTTCTTGGAGGCTTCGGTGCAGAGCCCGGTTAGGTTCAACAGGGTTCCGGAGAAGGTTCCAGAGGAGGTGTGGGAGGCTTTTGTGCAGAGCCAGGTCAGGTTCAACAGGGTTCCGGAGAAAGTTTCGGAGAAGGTTTGGGAGGCTTTGGTGCAAAGCCAGGCTCACGGAAACCTTACGGAAACCCAGGCGAGGTGTTTCCAGCGCTTGGCTTCGCAGCACACTTCAAAAAGATTTGTAAAAATAAAACGTTGCGGCTGTTGAGGATACCACCGAAGCTTATATATATATATATATATTAGTAATACACATGATGATGGTACAACCCAGATGAGTGTCAGGGAATCCCATGTTGATCATGGCTGGCAGGCCAGCAAGACGATCCCGGAACGGTGGTGGGCAAGCAGGACGTCGAAGTGAAGCAATACAGCGGCACCCCGTTGATCCCGGTGGTTCGGAGTTGGCCTGGGAGTTTGGATGGTAAAAGGTGGTGAAAATGGTGTTGCTGAATGGTGTTAATGAGCTTTATTGGGGATAGGGATTTATCATCCCAAGTCACATAGCCCCCGGAGAATTGCGATGTGCTATTTCGGAAAGTACTTTTCGGCATGCGGCTGATACGCCGCCTTTGGGAGGGTTGCATATTTTGAGATGTGCCATTTACGATCCCGCGGAAGGGCTGCAAATTTGAAAATGAAGTTTGCGAAAATGGGGGTTCAGGATTTGCATTTCGGCTTTGTTCAACATGTTGCACCATCATCGGGGGGATGGGGGGGTAATACCGTTCTTGAGGAGTAATATACATGGCCCACGGAACTTGTTGCCGTTGTGAACGTGTTGCGCATGCTCTCTTTCTGGCCATCAGGGGGGTTGGGAGGGGGGTGATGGGAGTATTATACACATGGCCCACGGAACTTCTTACCGTTGTGCACCAAAAAAGGCACTCTTGGGCTTACAGCTGAACATGGCGTCATAATGTCGCCTTGATTTGCCTTGTTGGAGTCTGTTGCTTTGGCACTGAGGCTTCGAGATGAGAAAAGACATGGATGGGCGCATGTTTGCAGGGGATTTTTGAGAATCATAAATTTCTAATGTTTTTTTGCCTTCGAAGAAAATCGATTCACTGTGCAGGTGAAACGCAAATTTTGACACTTGAGTCACACGCCTGCCAATCGAAAGGAATGTCCATGTTTCAAATGTTTTTTGACAAGTCCCACAAATACCAGAATTTTGTCTCTTAGCCTCGAAAATCTCAATTTCAAATTTGTCACCCTTACAAGGGCGGCGGGTCAACCGGTTGCCTAGTTTTCCAACCCCCGACTGGTGGCAGGGTCTATGTTGGTGTGAGGAAATGAACCGAAATTAACCGGCAAGAATCGCGGAAAATGATGTGGCGACTTAACCCTGGCCGACCTCGCAATGTTGATGATGGCTAGGATCGGGCTGCGTCTCCTGTGGTCAGAGCTCAAGTGGGGTTGCTTGAGAAGTGGGAAAGATGACAATGAAAACCGTGCCAAAAATGTTCAGTTTAGCATGTTCGTTCGGTACGATTGGGCGTTCGGAACGCGCGTTTTAAAAACTCGCGTTCCAGAACGCGCGTTCTGAGTGAATCCTTTTTTTCCAATGATATAAAGTTAACTTATTTCCTGGGCCTGGACACTGAAACCTTTTTCCCCCCAAATAAAAAAGGATTTTGAGAGCTCTTATGGGCTCAAAATGGTGTATGAAGCCACCAGAAAGTTGATCTTCCCAACCCCGGATCCTTTTTTGGGTGAAGCAAAAAAGGTTCTGGCCTCACCAGGCTTGTGGGGCAAGTTAGCTTTCCTTCCCGGATCCTTTTTTTCTCTGAAAAGAAAAAGATTCTGACCTCTCACAAATTTTATCGTAGTGCTAATAACAGAGGTCTAATAAGATTTTGAAACATTGTTGAAAATTTCTATGTGACACAGCGGATCTCTTTTGCAAGGAGCAGAAAAAGGATTGGGAGGCTTCTGGAATCCATAAAACCACTAAAACCCCCCCTGCGTTCGGAACGCGCGTTCCAGAACGTACGTTTTGCGTTCTGCGTTTTGGTCGTGCTAAGATGTTCAGAGTTCAGAGATAGTTTGAGATGCAACAGGTGTTGCACACACACACACACGCACTCCAAATACTCGAAACATCTTGAAACTGCTGCTGGTTCCCAGGGTTTCTTTCACTTAACTTCACAGACCAGTTTTAGTAGTTGTTGATGGAATGATGGTCTCCACCAACCAAGTTGCTTTGTCCTTGTGAATGTTGGAAATAGACATGTTATGGATTTATGGCAAGCTAAGGTCAATGTGAAACTCAGTACATGAAACTGGTGTTCCTTATAAATAAACTAGAGCCATAGATATTGTTTTCCAGCTCTTTTCTGCAAGACTCTCCATTTGGATGGTGGTTTGAAGCATTCGGATTGCCCACGGTTTTGGAAAATGAATCCAGCACAATACACTTACTTTCGGATGGTAAAGGTGGAATATTGGCGAGTCGGTTTTCCACCAACTTTCACATTGAATCTAAAATGCGGTTTGTCCCCTATAATGATGAGAATTGCAAGGTTTCAGTTAGAGAATCATGGGCAGAGATGAACAGAGTATATGTATATATATATATATTAGAACTATGTATATATATATATATATATAACTTATATAACTCTATATATATATATGGTATATTATTGTACACCAAGAAACATAAACCTTGGAAAACCTACCTAACATCGGTGATTGCACGCTTCTTCAAGTGGTTTTTTGTTGTTAAGGCCCAGTGGATGAAGCATTGGCTCGGTCCTTCATTCATGCCTTGAGAGCGGAATACGTGCAGAATGAAGCAGGTACCAAAAAACCACTGGCGGATGGGCTGGGAGTTTGGATGGAGGAAACTGGGGATGGCTGAAAATCTGGGTTGGAGTGGATTTTGTTTCAAAGGATAAGAATACCAGGACATATACTGCAAAAAATAAGTATATGTATTGTAATACCTGGGGCCTCCTCAGACTTAGATTACATCCAAACTTAAAACGATCCACCTGAATAGTTGGAAAATCCGCCCGAATAGTGGGTAAATCCGCCCGAAGATATTTTCTGTTATGGTCTTGAAAATCAAAAAACAACCAGAACAATCCTTGGCCCTGCCCTGCCTGTAACGGCAATAATATCTGTTTTGTAGCCTGAGGTAAGAAAGGGCTCAACTTTTGGCCCAAAAGGTGGTTGGAAGTGTCTATATTTAAATTATTATTATTATTATCATTATTATCGTTATTATTATATATTACACAATATACATAGATGTATATTATATATAATATATACATACATTTATACATTTTTATGTGTATTATACATAGCAGAGTTGTTACACTGACCTAATAATTCTGGGAGAAACATACGAGATTGCACATGTCACCCCTGGATGATCTTGGGTGGTTTCCACCCTGTTCCGCACCATTTCGGTCTCACCAGACGGTGATACTGACTGTCCCTGTCCACCCAGAATCTCCAAAATCCCATAAGAACACTTTACTGAGACACAACTGCCATTGGCTACATTCCCCCGTCGTGTTCTTCTCTAAGCAGTTGCATACCAGACAAAGACATAAAAAAATAAAACATATATTTTGGTGGATTTCTCTGAAAATGGGGAAGACGCAATCCATTCATTCATGGTATATATGTGATATATAATATTATATAGTAATATACATGAATATATATATATATGATATAAATGTATTGGATCATCATCTCATTTCCCATCATTTCCCCATTTCGGATGCCTCCCGGAGGTGCCGTAGGCGTGGTCTTTGATGCCAACGGTAACGCAGAGGGTGCCCTGGGTCCCTACGAAGAAGAGGTGCGCGCCGCAGGCGACAAGGCGGTCCCTTGGCAGGTGACGGCGGAAGGGGAGGGTGATATGGTGAGTTTCGAAGCATCAAAAATTTAGGCGATTTCGTATGATTCATCATGAGATGATATAAAATCTGAAAACCTTCTGGTTTCATTTGCAATGGAAAACCCTAACGCTTATATAATGAGAAATTCATCTAGAAATGGATGTACATAGGAGATTCCCAATGGAAGATCAAATATATAATCTTTACTAGCCAATCTGGGGCGGACATGTTTTTTTGGCCTGCAAGAAGTTAAAAACTCTCAGCAAGTAGCGGAAGATCAGCAAAACAAATCTTGCGGGCATTCGGGTCCCAGCCGTCCCATTGAATTCTGTGAGATCTTTGACATGGAATGATTCGATTCACACCTGGTTTTGGACAGTTTGAGCAGCCAATTGGTTGGTTTCCAAAATCGGACCTATATGCATATACCATCATATACCACCAGCACAACTTCTTAAGTTGACGTTCTGATTCAAACTAACTATCATGGCTTCAGGGAAGGCTGGATTCATTTTGTTCGACCTAGGCTTGCATCGATTCCATCGCACAGCGATGGAACCTCGTGATCTAAGTGTGCCAAGATGCAGATTGGATGCGCTTTGCAAGAGTTCACCTCATTTAACCAAGCCAGTTGTAGTCCTTATCAGATAGCTGTGGCTTGAACATATGGTACAACAGGGATGCCAATTTGTATGTTTAGTACGTTTCTATTATGTACGCCTCAATCTTGGGGTAAGTAATTGTAGTACCAAGGTTTGAAGTGTTGTGAAGTTCTGCCTTAAGAAGGGTAATTACTAATTACTTGTGTTAAGCATGGAAGAGTGCGTGCATTGCGATCCAATGATGCTACTCAATCAAATCCTAAGTAGCCCAATGCAGGCAATGACGAGTTAATCAAAGAAGACCTAGTAGTCTCTCATGCTCAGAGCATGCAAAGGACAAGGAGTCATTCGCAAACAAGGTGCTACATATCCATCTTCGCCGATGAAATATGGCCGTTGGTCAAAGCTGCGGGGAACATTAGATAAATCATGATAAACCACGAATGGATACAATGAGCAAAATCTGTGGGGGCTTGGACAAGGCCATAGGGCTGTGTCTTCCATTGTGCAAGATCTTGTGGGGAATCCCTACCTGCGAGAGAAGTTTAGCAACCAAACCTGCAACATAGAAATGAGATGAAATGAGTGTCATCCAGCAACGTGAGAATGAATGTGTGCCAGCAGACTTTGGGAAGATTGTGGATTGTGGCGTCAGAACCCCTTTCGAAACATGACAGAAAAAGCATGCGTATCAAAATGAACCAGGGGATATCGGATATATAGAACATCCATCAACATCCACACAATTTTGAAGAACCGAGTGCAGCTATCCTTTGGGTCAACTTGGAAGCACTGCGGTTCTTTGCAGCACTCTTGCAAGCGTATCCGGCGGCGCAGTTTCGCGGCACGCCACACCGGCATCGCAGCATGACCGGGGCTGCTCCAGCAGAGGGTCAAGCCATTTGAGGCGACCTATGGTGAACGATTCTCTGCTAGGAAGTGGCACATTACATCGCTTGCTTCGTGCCCAAGGTGGCGCGGGGCAGGTCCTGACTTGAACAAATGCTCCGACAGTGCCCACCTTAGTTGATTTACAAGTGAATCCATCGGCTGAAGATGTCCGAGGATGTGCAACAATAGGTCGGGGTCAAACATGAAGGCCTGGGGACTCGGCAAATTTGGTGTGTTTTTACTTTTGTGGTATCATGAAGTGTCCAATGTTCGGGATATCCATGGATGCCCATGGATGCCCATGGATCCCCAATCTTTACACATGCCCAAATGAAAACGAAGAACTCATCCATTGTTGACACTAGGCACATCAGCTGTCGGAATGTATGGTTCAGAAATGTTCAGAATGCGAATCTGACTTCCCATTCTTTCTTGTACTTGCATGTACTTGCGCCATAGAGAGAGGCCAAGCCAGGCATGCTTTACTTTCTTTGGGAATCTCCTCCATCTCATCAAGCAATGTGAACACGGAGTCTCTCCTGATTGTGTTTGTTCATATTGGATCGCCGCCAAAAAAAACAAAGAAATCTGAGATACCGCTTTTGGTGGGTTTTTCCAACGATGCACCAGGAGGAGAGGGCAAGTGCTATCACAAGTATTTCCATCTCAAGTTTCCTATCTTGTAGTACCTGGCTCCACCAACGGATACAGGGCGCACTGTCGTTGTTCTTGCGTCACAAAGGACGTTGAGAAACGCGGGGCCTGCCGGATCTGCAAAGATTGCTGGACTCTGCAGCTGTGATATCAATCCCGCGAAAGAGAGCGCTTGGATCTTGTTATAGGTGCCAGCGGAAGTTCAACAAACATCTCTGTCAGGTCTTAAAATGGGGATACTTATAGCATCTTATAGCAACCACCAAAAAGATGGAAAAGTTGGAAACCTGTTTTTTTTTAATATGGGAAAACATCATCTAGACCATCCTAGAAATACTTAGAAATATTATAAAATATATAATGCCGTCTTTGGGGACCACTGTGCTCTAAAGATACAATGTTCAGAGGGAAAAATGATGGAAAAAATGATGAATCAGGGAATTTTGGGGCGCCCTGTTTTTGGACAATTCTATGTATGGCAGGTATTCTCGGGATTCACTTTCCATTCCTTAAGCGCTCAACCGCTCAGTTGTTGGGTTGGAAACTCCGGCATCCGGACGATGGGTTGGCCTTTCGGAGTGCATGGCATTAAATTCAACATATAATTTTGATCACTTCTGATATAATAGCCTTTAATTATATTTGCTTATTTATATATACATATATTATATATCAATGTAGAGCCATGCATTCATATTAAATTTATTTCAGAGTTCTCATCTCAGGGCTGGGCAGCGCCCGTTGAACCGATCGCTCTACCATTTTGTGCCGGCAAAGCCGGCTGAGTCGTTACGGTTCCAGTGCTTATCACCGGTGGATTCCATGAAAAGATGTGGACTGTTATCCATTTGCTCGTGTAAGAGGGCATTTGCCACGTGTTTTATGGTGCATTTCACAGATAATGTGAAAATTGATGGACTGCTTATGGTAAGAGTTCTCGGCCCTGTATCTTGAATGTTTGAGGACACACATTGCTACAGCTTGCATTGGACACTGAACGACGGCAGCAAATGTCGCATTCGGTCCTGAGCAGCTCTTGCAAGGCTGAAAAATGGCCGGAATATGCCGGAATGCGTGTGTAATCCTGTGTCATGTGGGGTGTGGCTTACCTTTCTCGTTGGCTAAGGTAAGCCATGTCGGCAAAATTGCGCCAGGAGTGGATCCATCCCGTGGTCCCGTGACACTCAAAAAGCACACCTGAGACGACGCCATGGCGAAACAAAAAAACGGCGAAAATCCAGCATGGCACATGAATTTGGTTCCGGTTTGCGATACTTGACTTTCATTGGATTAAAAAAACTGAAGATACTTGAATGGTTTCTAGATATTTCTAGCCTCTACAAACCATCCTTCCTGTCAAGAATGACGTGTTCTGAGAAATATCCCTAGGACCATGGAAAGAACTATGGAAAATGATGAGGAACATTCATGTGCTGCATGTATAGTTTGATTGATATATATATATATATAAATATATAATTACAATATATATATATATATAATTATATATATATATGTATATATTGTATGTACATATAATGTAATTGAATTATATATATATACAGATATATATATATATGTGCAAGGTATTATTACATGCCCTAGTGCTTTTGTTCATTTACAATTTTAATATAGAGCATTGTATATTCAATTGCTTCATACAATATTATACCGCCATCCAAGAAAAATGATGCAGATGTGTCCCCAGAAAAAGGATTTGGCCGATTGACAAAGTAAATTGGAGATTCAGATTATGTATTAATTGGATGAGGTATTTTGCCGGTTGCTGCCGAATGCATTGGTATCCAGCTTAACGCGAGAAGAGCAAAACACTGATAGCGAAGGATCTAGCGAAGGTGAGAGTGAAATTTTTCACGAGCCAGGATTTGACCTGGAGGATAGCGATGGATTTTCCACTTCTTGCCAAGATGACGAAGTCGCAGAACGACATATGGTGCTGACCACCGACATAAACGAAGAAACCGAGGTGTTGAATAAAGGGCAGCGCCGCAAACTTTTGGATACCGTCTACAAGATTGTAGAATCGGCAAAGGAAGAATTGACAGAAAGAATCCCTAAGGGATCGTCCAGACCTCTAAGGCCCATCCGAAGGATGAGTGTCTTGTTGAAGGTGATCGAGATTTTCACTTGGTCTTATATGATCTTATAGATAGCTACCTTGAGAGGATGGGCGACCTATGAACCCATCATTTTGGATGCCGGATGGGATATTTTAAGTCCTCAAATGAAGGACGCTGTAATGAAGTATCTCGAAAAGGTGGACCTTGATTTGATCATAATCGTATTTCTATGTGGTCCTTGGTCCGTGATGTAGAACATTAATTAACGGACACCAGCACAGCGGCGAGTTCTCAGGTGGAAAAGAGCCATCGCTCGAAAAACCCTCCTACCCTTCACTCGGAGGGTTGCTCTTTGGCAGAGAGGACGTGGCAAGGCGGTCGTGCTGGAAAATTCCGCTTTAGCCAAATCATGGGATACGGAAGAAATCTCGGAGGCTACCGAGGGGCTGGATTTCGCCCTATTTGACCAATGCCGATTTGGCCTACGGCATCTAGTGAACAAGATACCGATGAAAAAGCTGACGCAGGTCGCAGGCCAAACGGAAGTAATCCAAGAATTGAAGGAGGTACGCTGCCTAGGAGAGCACCAACATTACCCCATAGAGGGTGGATTCAAAGGGGCGGATGGTAAGTGGCATAGCTTGAGTGAATACGCGGGAGGCTACCCGGCTGAGCTCTGATATTGCATCCTCAAAGGAGCCGAGGCATTTTGCCGTTCACAGGAGACCCTTATTGGGGATGGAGATAACTATGAGTTTGATGATATAACGACAGAGCTGCAGGATGGTGACGAAATCCTTAAAGAGGAGGAACCTTGCCGTGCAAGAGGAATTTCAGGACGACCCAAATCTGAGAGATAAGAATCTCGAGGAGGAAGAGAGATATCCAATCTCCACAGAAGTGAGGAAATCGGTGGAGTTTACTTACCGCCACCTATCGACATCAAAGCTCCTACGCATGATGCGGTTGAGTGGAGCCAGTAGTGAGGCCATCCGCTATGCAAAGCGATGGCGGTGCGATGTATGTGCACAGAGGCAACGACCTCGCCATCCGATGGCCTCAACTGCAACAACACGGCCTTACGAGGTTCAACCATCACCTATATATCGACCTGAAGTTTGTCCACGATATGAGGGCAAAGAGATATGCCGTGCTGTTAATGTTGGACCTGGGGACCAATAAGCATGACTGCATGATGGTCAAGATCCGACGCAGTGATTATGTGGCTGGCAAATTTATGCGTCACTGATACATGAGGTACGGAGTGCTAGCTCGCATCACGCACGACCAAGGTGGTGAATTCGAGCAATCCTTCACAGCGGTACTCGAGCAGTTTGCCATCGACTCCGATGTAACCGCAGCCCACGCTGGCTGGCAGCTGGGCGCAGGCGAGCGCCATGGAGAAATCCTCGGAGTAGTTTTGCAGGCTATAGTAGATGAGCATTCTGTGGAAAGATACAGAGCTATGAAGCTGGCACTAGCAGCGGCAACGATGGCCAAGAACGCCACCATTACCCGTGACGGGCATATACCCAACCAACGAGTCTTTGGGGTTGAGGTGAAGTGGCCGAGCCTCCTGGCTGAAGAGGTGGAGCCTTCATTCGCAAAGGGTGTCAATACAAACTCCGAAGTAGCCAGAGCACATCAAATGCGCACCACGGCTCGCGTCGCGCTCATTAGGAGTGACGTCCGCGAGAAAATTAAAAGGGCGATCTTAAGAAAACCGGCGACATCCCAGGGGCCATATACACTCTAAGAACGCGGATTTACTTCTGGGTACCAGGGGTGAAATCCCGGTACAGTTCCCGCGGGGGCACTTGGCGTGGTCCGGCGACCATCCTGATATAAGAGCGGGCGAAGCGATACTTTGTATCTTGGTGAGGTCGATTTCTTCTATTGGCAGATGAAATCCTTGACCTTCAGGACATATTCCGAGATCCGATGAAATCCAATGCCTATAGAGACCTCAGAGATGCAAAGCCACCTCCAAGGAAGTAATACAAGCGAAGAGCACCGGCTGTGCCAAGCTCATGATGCGAGGCACAAAGTCGGTGCAGAAGCTTCTGCAGGATGCTGGAGCTGGAAAGGAGTTCAGGAAGAGTGTCGCTCGGCAGCGACGCGACCAGAAAAGGAAGGCAGAGAAGATTCCAGAGCCGCCTGTACCGAGAACGGCAGAACCTTTATCGGCAGAGCCGGAGGAGAAGTCAGAGGGCTATGACCCGAGTATAGCAGAGGATCCGGTAGAGGAAGGCCCTAGGCCAGAGGAGCCAGGGGCGCCGGACACAGCTGAAAGACCTGAGGATTTCGAAGCTCCGAACGAAGGTGAGGCATGTGGCACCAGAAGATGTTCCAATCGAAGGAGACGAGATCATTGAAGAGGATGGTGAGGATGGTAACCCCTCGCGGTTAGATCCCTTGCGGCTCATCCGAGAGCATGCCAGCAGGGAATGGCAAGGTCTTCCGCCAGAGGCGAGACGTCAGAGGTTGAGCGACGTAATTTGGATGACACTTTCGTCCTGGAGAAGCGCCAGAGGGTGAGTGATTCCCTGGTGGCTCAGGTAATGATGGGTGCATCAGAAGATGGGCCGTCCAACGAATGGGTTAGCCGATATGAGCTTACGCTACTGAGGCAGTTGACAGGATTGCCAATCTGTGCTGCGCGGTTGCACCGTGCTCCAAGAAAGAGGTTCATAAAACCTCCAAAGATGGTGTTACGGTCTCGGTTGACCATAATGATCGGAAGAGATCCCGTGGACGCCTTTGTGGTCTCCGAGAACCCCGAAGAAGTAGCGGCCAATCCGAGACACAGGTCATCCATCGAGTGGAAAGGAATGACCATGTTTGCCAAGGCTGCGCCTGAAGATAAAAGGGCACGGATATACCCAACATACGTCCAGGGTGCTCAAGGCCTTTATGAGGCCAATATGACCTACGAGGAACGCAAGGTGTTCGAAGAAATCTGGGTTGAGGACACCAGGAATTGCTTGGTGGCCGAGATCATGGCTTTGAAGCTCAAGGCCAGTGGCAAGGAACTCAATCCAAAGGCTTTCGAAAAGGATGAATGGGTGAAGTTCAAGGTTTCCGAACAGAGAGAATGGGAAGAGTGGATCGACAATGTTGTCATAAGAAGAATTCCCAAGGAAGAGGCGGTGTCCATTCCAAAATGGAAGGTGTTCAAGTCCCCATTCCGAATGGTCCGAACGAACAAGAGTGGTGGAGTGCTGTTACCCCTGATCGCAAAATCGCGATTAGTGGTGCCGGGTCATTTAGGCCCTGGCCTGCGTGCGTTTCGCACGATGTACCAATTGCGGCTTTGACGCCGACCCGCCTGGCAAAAGCGGTGGCAGCCGGAAGGGGCTGGCAAGGGTGGAGTTTTGACGTGACGACGGCTTTCTTATCAGGAGATAGCACCAGCCGTGAGATCTACGTCAGAGCCCCGGAAGAAGGCCTGCCGGCCGTAGAACCGTTCGAAGGACTCCAAACTCTGAAGTCCGCGTATGGACTGACTGAAGCCTCGAGGCTTTGGTATTTGCGGGCTTCACACACGATCCAAAAGACCCTTTTCAAGGAGTTGGTTGCAGCCAAGGCAGTATTTGTGGCTGCAGAAAAGGGAGTCTCGTGGGCGATTTTGGTGCTCCAGGGTGGACGACGGCCTGCTGCTAGGATCTAATCAGGACGTGCGATTTCAACGGTTGAAGGAACAGATCAATGGATTGTTCCGGATCAAAGAGTGGAAGACCGTCCCATTCACATTTCTGGGAGTGAATCTGGAGAAGCAAGATGATACGTGGGTTGACGACATGTCAGTCTATATCAAGGCGATCAAGGTCCCAGAGATTCAAAAGAAGAAAGATGACATCCCGCTGGATGCTCAGGAGCTGACTACCTTTCGGCAGCTCGTCATGCGCCTTCGATGGCCTGCACAACTGGCTGCACCCAAGCTATTGTATGAGGTGTCACTTTTGGCACAGAAAATTTCTAAGGTGACGCACAAAGACTTCAAGGATGCCTTGGCGTTGCATGGCAAGTTCCGGACAGAAGTAGATGAGGGTAGAGTTGCGCTCAAATACCCGAGGATGAATGGCATGCCATATTTGGTGACGTATTTCGACGCGTCATTCGGCCGAGAGCCAGAAGGACGCTCTCAACTGGGAGCCATCCATTTCCTGACTGATGAGGGAGTGATTCATGGGCCGAGCCGAGCTGCCGTGGTGGAGTTTACAACCACCAAGTCGACCAGAGTTGTAAGAAGCTCAATGGCAGCAGAATCTTGCAGCCTAAGCGTGGCTGTGGACCGCCACATGTATGCAAGGTTGATCCTCGACATGATGCTGAGAGGAACATACGAGGTCAAACCTACTTGGCGCACAGATTGCCAAGTCCGTGGTGGTTCGGTTACAGACGCCAAAAGTCTGTATGATCATATGTCTACGACAGGACAGATCCCTCAAGAGAGACAGACGATGCTGGATCTCCTAGTTGCCAAGAGCTTGCTGGAGCAAGAAGCCTTTCGGCTCTTTTGGGTGCCCACCTTCCCATACATAGGCAGTATGTCGATGTCCTTACTAAGAAAATGAAGGACTTACTATGGATGGAATTCATCCAGACGGGTACCATTTCGCTGCGCGAGACCCCAGCAGAAAAGGCTCTGGAGGAGTATCGTAAGCGACTCCGACAAGGTCAACGGCAGCGCCGGAAGACCAAGTTCAAGGCTGCAGCCGCAGCCACTAATTCGTGACGGTCACGCCAACACTCTCTTTTTGGAATGTGAAACATGGTGAGTGGTTTGGCATGGTGGCATACATGCATGTTTTTGTTTGTTAGCATTTTCACCCATTTCTTTTGCCGTGGCCGTTTGTACAGCTTGGCCCAAGCACAGCTTTTCGCATTTACACCAGACGCTTCTGAGAAAACAGGCCGCTGCCTTTTGACTTCTAGCCTTTGTTGCTAACACTACCCAGTACTCCGTAATTATAATATAATTAGTTAAAATATTAATATATATTTTTATAATTTAATATATTTAAATATTAAATTAATAGTAGTAGATTTTATTTTATTAAAATAAATAAAATTTCACATATTTATTTTTTTAATTTTTAATATATTAATATAAATAGGAATTAATTAATTTTATTTAAATAAAATATATATTTATATTATTTATTTAAAAAAATATATATAATTATATATTATTAAAATTATTATAAATATAATTTATGACTATTTAATATTACTACTAATATTACGATCTAGCCTGACCCAGAGCGCGTGCGCGCAGTTTCTCGAGGCCAATTTTCCCAAAAATCTGCTACTTTTTTGGGAAAATTTGCGAATACAAACTTAGTCTGCGCAAATACAAACTAAGTCTGTGCTTCCTGAGCCCCCTGCGCGGAGGTCGAAATTTTACTACTATTTTGGGAAAATCATTTTTGATTTTCCCAAAAAAGTGATACTTTTTTGGGAAAAATTCTCTTCTCCCCAGTCAGTGTCCCACTAAGCAAATGCAGTACGGTCAGGGTCGGTCGGGGGTTCGATTCCCCCCTGGTCCAGTGTCGCTCGGTATTCAGTTGTGTTTGAGCATGTGTCTTCTGAGTTTCCCCCGTAGGTCTCTCATGGATCAGTTGAGCTTTCGTTTTACGTTTCCGTTCTTCTGCATGTACCGCATGCGTCTATCACTCTTTTGAGTGCACTTTCGGCCCCACTGTCGCTCGGTCGATCTCTCCTGCATCAGTTGCGCTTTCGTTTTACGTTTCCGTTCTTCTGAATGTACCGCATGCGTCTATCACTCTTTTGAGTGCACTTTTGGCCCCACTGTCGCTCGGTCGGTCTTTCAGTTCCATTCGAAAAAGGGTCTTCTGGGAGCTTTGGTTTTGCGTCCACTGTCGCTCGGTAGGTCTCTCATGGATCTGTTGTTGTTGTTGTTGTTGTTGTTGTTGTTGTTGTTGTTGTTGTTGTTGTTGTTGTTGTTGTTGTTGTTGTTGTTGTTGTTGTCGTTGTTCGTTGTCGTTGTTCGTTGTTGTTGTTCGTTGTTGTTGTTCGTTGTTGTTGTTCGTTGTTGTTG